ATGAAAGTGTAAATTATACATAATATATGTTGAAGGGAAAAAAAAATATCTAAAGATTTGACAAATCAAGGTGAATATTAGACTCAAGGTTGGTTGTACCGCAATGGTTACGGTTGCGGGTGACGACGTTTTCAGAGCCGTTGATAGCGATTATGAATGATAAATACTGACTGGTTGATAAGTTGATGTTGGCAGCGATTGCGGGTGAGTACGGCTAGAAGTGAATAGTTCGTTGCGGTTGCGCGCGATTGCGTTTTGATATAAATTATAAAAAAAATATTATTTTAAAATAATTTTATAATAATTTTAATCGAATTTTTAGTATCATTTGATAAAAATTATTTACTAAATTTATAATAATTAAATAATAAATTTAAAATATAAATATCATCAATTTAATTTATTTTAAGTAAAAAAAATAATTCTATTATAATTTTTTTTTAAAATAATCATTATTAAATCTAAAAAGTATACTATTATATATTTTTTATTAAAATATAATCCTAAAAAATAATATCAAATCATAACACTAAACAACATTAATTATCATATATATATATATTAGAGTTTTATATAATTTTTTATGAGGATATTTTAGTTTTTTTGTCAAAACGCCAGAAACCGTTACCAAAACGCAAGGTAGATGCTGCGATTAGAAAACACAAGTTTGGCTGCAGTTGCAGATGGTTGCGGTTCAACCAGTCAGTTTTTAAATCGTCTGCAACTGTCAGAAATCGCAACTGCTCCATTTGCGAGTAGCGGCTGTGCAACCAGTCGCTCCCTGTACCTATACATTGTTTATAGAATGAAACATTCGCCAAACTGCATATCCACCAAAAAATATTCTCATAATTTATCTTTACAATGAGGGTAAAATTCCAAAAAAACCTCCAACTTGTAAAAATATATACAAATAAACTTTTAACTTGAAAAATTATCAATCAATCATCGAACTTGTAACTTGTCACTTAATAAAACCTCAAACTTGCAAATTATTGTTCTAATAAACCTTTGACCGGTTTGACCACAATTTCGAACGATCGGAAATCCACGTATTGACGGATTGCTGATATCATTTTTTAAATTAAAATTGATAACATGTATTAGGTGACATCACCAATCCGTTAATACGTGGATTTTCGATCGCCTGAAATTGTGGTCAAACTGGTCAAAGGTTTAATAGAGCAATAATTTGCAAGTTCGAGGTTTTATTTAGTGACAAGTTACAAGTTCGGGGATTGATTGACAATTTTTTAAGTTGAAGGTTTATTTGTATATATTTTTGTAAGTTGGAGGTTTTTTAGGGGTTTTACCCTTACAATGACCAGTGACAAAGAGCAAACTCAGACATTTGGAAGAAAAAAAATCCAAACATTTTTTTTAATGACAATATTAGATTATTCGCATATAAATATAAATAAATACCGATATCTAATAGGTAATTAGATAGATAAAAATATTCTACATGCATAATTCATTCAAAATCTGGATTAAAAATAAATCCAAGATTTGACGTGTGGTTATATACGAATAATCTTACCTACATATGGATAGTATATATTATTAAATATTAGTTTCGACCATTACATAAAAAATAGCTATTTTTAATAATTTCTCAATAATACTCTATCTCAACAAACCATAAACGTTTGATTTCAGATTATATATTATTCTAATTTCAGATGATTTATCTAATAATATATAGAACTAATAATTATAAGCTTAATCAAAGCAAGGAGATATTAAATTTCTCCACCGTTTAATTTGTTCAAAAGAATGAGATTCTACGAAATTAATTCCACCAACTTTCGTTCCCAAATACCAAAAAAAAAAGAATTAAAAGAAGAAAAAAGAAACAAAAACAAAGTGAAAGCAAAAAGCAAAAGAAAGAGCACTAAACACACAAATCACACACACACACACTCTCTCTCTTTACCGCTCACCAAAGGCAAAATATGGCACTTCCCTTCACGTCTATCTCCCTCCTCTCCCTCCTCCTCCTCGTCCACGTCAGCAACCACCACCACCGGACCGCGGCCTACGCCATGTGGTGCGTGGCTCGGATCGACGCCACGAGCCAGGCGCTGCAGTCGGCCCTTGACTACGCATGCGCCACCGGCGCCGACTGCGCTCCGATCCAGCCGACCGGTCTGTGCTATCTCCCCAACACGATCCAGGCTCACTCCTCTTACGCCTTCAACAGCTATTTTCAACGCAGATCCATGGCACCTGGTTCTTGCTACTTCGCCGGTACTGCCACCCTCGCCAAAACTGATCCCAGTACGTCTCGGTTTCTTGTTAACCGGCCCGGTTTACGTTTTCGGTTTTCCCCTCCACTCACATATATACACACACATGGATAGATATAGTGTGTATATAATGGCTTTGAATGTAATAATAATTTTTTTTTTGTGTTTCTGATTTAGGTTATGGGTCTTGCGTGTATCCGAGCTCTTTGAGGTATGCGATATTTTCTACGTGTGTGCTTGCTTTGTGTAATATATATATATATATACGTACGCATCAACTTCTTTTAATTAGGATAATATTGAAATTAAACATTTTTATATGTTGCTGTCATATTATAATTATGTTTCATTATTTCTATGATATTTGATTACGTGATCTAGATTTTTATGCTGGGTTTCAAACTTTCAATATTTTCATAAACATTTTTTAAGTCTTTGGACCGTGGTTATATAAAAAAATATATAGATTTCTAAATATCGGTAAATTCTTTTTATGACAGAAAAAAGAGAGAAAATTCTTATTGTCTCCAAAGAATATATAAAAAAAAACTAAAGCTCGATCTTTTCTCGAGATGCGTTTTGAGCGTTGTCCCCTTTCTCTGTGTTCTATCCGCCATTTCTGGACCGTTGGATGCTCTTCATTGTCAAACACAAAAACATCCAACGGTCGTTATGATATGGGTCCCAGTGCCTTATCTGATGTGTCCTTTAAGTTTTGGTCAAAAGTTCAAAATACACAAATACACTAGTTTCTCTAACATCCATTACTATATTTTTATATAAACAATATTATTAAATTAAATATTTTTTTTTAAATTCGTACATCGACGAACTTTTTTATTCAACAACAATAAAATAAAATTATAATACTATTTCAAATAAATGCTTATTAGATAAATACATTACACTAGCTATAAAAATTGGAATTGTTATACTCATCCCAAAAACATTGAATAAGTGAATAATTGTAATAATTGTAAACATTGTAATTGATATATATATATATATATATATAGTTTTGAAAATCATTATATATTTTTAATTTTTTGTTAATTATGTGGTAAATTAAATTATTTCAACTATTTATTTCAAACTGGAAAATTGAATTTGTAGATGAAAAATATACTTTCCAAATGACCTTTTTTTCTAGAATATGATGAATTAGATTTTTTTTATAAATATCTTATGAAACTATTGTGAATATCGACATATATATATATATATATATATTAATTTTACGTCTTGTTATCTCTTAGTGCATTTGATTTGCCTTTTATCAACGTAATATTAATAATCACAAAACTGATTTTCTTCTCGTCACATTAAGATTTTCTCCATACCGTTTGTTTTTTGTTGGCGCTGTTTGTATAAGTTGGTGTTTTATTTCTTAAAGTATTTTATATTTTATTTATTTTAGTTGTTAGAACAATACTAATTATGAAATAAAAGGTATCAATAATTAATAACTAAATCAAATTTACAAAAGCTCTTGTCTTGTTGGACCGGACCACTTCCTTTACATTTTTCTTAACGAAGAAGCCAACAATTCGATCCATTTATCATTCTTTGCTGCTTTCCTACGAATATTTAAATGAATTTCTTTTCTTCAACATGCACCGTTTCCCCAATTTAATACACAAACATTCAAAATTGTTTTTTTCCATGAAATATAGGTTGTATTCACTTAATACTTTTTCAAATTTTATACATAATTATATTGATAAAATTTCATTGTAGGCAAAAAATGAACTGTTATAATAAATAAATAAAGTATATGTTAATTTAAATTAAACTATAAACTATTAAAGTTACAAAAACCTAATTACAAGGAATTGATTGTGTTAAAATTAAAGAATCGAGAGTAGCACTTAAAAATTGTTTCAACTTCGGCACATTCTTAAAATTGGTACATCCATATTTTTAAAAAAAAAAACAATTTCTTGTTAATCATCTAAATTAGAAATTTTTATGTGTGAATGTTTTTTCATCAAAGTTCTTGATTTCGATCCAAGTTCTTGAATCGTTTGTAATATATATATCTTCCAGCACCGCCGGAGGAACACCGGCGACGACAACGACGTTCGGAGGAACACCGACCACGACGATCACCGGAAACAATCCTACCACGACATTAACACCACCTACGACCACATCGCCGGTCGGAAACGGCCTGACTCCGCCGGGAACCACCGCGCCGCCGTTCACCCCGTCGACCAGCACCACCGACGAATCCGAAGCCTCATCGAACATCTGCATGAGGACACGTGTAACATTATTATGCTCGGTATTAATGGCTGTGATTTTGTTTTAGGTTATAGAAGAAAGCATTTATTGGTTTAGATTTAATGCGACGAGGTATAAAACTACGCAAGTTTTGTGGTGGGATCAGAAGGTCGTTTGGTATTTGTCCTTTACAGGCAAAAAAATTTATTGGAACCCTCGGGATCTTACAGAGGGTTCTGATCATAGAATTATTAGACATATTTATTTATTTTTAATTTTACTTCTTATGTTAATCTTTTTGTTCAAGGGTTATAACATGTTGTCTGTACAGTCCCTATTTGATAACTTTTTTTACTTATATATATAAACACGTATACAAAAAAAAAAGGAAATAAAAAATGTCATAGAATGAATAAAATTAGGATTTTTTAAATTAAAGTTTATTAGAAAATATGAAGAATTTCAGTTTCTATAGAATTTAGATGTTAGTGTGTTTCCTATTTAAATTGTATTTATATATTTTTATTATTAAGATATGAATTAGGAATTATAGTGGGAGAAAACTATCTCATTCGATTATCAATAATATAACAACGTTTTATTTCGTAAATTTTAACATGGTATCAGTTTGAAGTTTTATTAGTTTTCAGAAAAGGGTGATGATTGAAGACGATGATGAAGATGGCGATATACCGTATCCGTCAGTGATATGATTTTGAAGGATTTTGATTTAAAAAATAATAAATTAGTAGTGTGGTTTTCGCTGATTTCTTTTTGTTTTTTCTTTTAGTTTTGATTTGTTTTCTCTCATTACTTTTCCAAATCGACAAAGATGTTTAATCTTAATTCTTTCTGTCGGATATAGTTTTGTCAGCGAACGATTTTTTTTTTTTGCGTAATTACATATTTGCACCGTCGTCGTTCGTTTGATTATAGTTTTGTCAGTAAACGATTCTTTTCTGCGTAGTTGGTTGTAGTACCACGTTCGTTTGTTTTTTTTTAGTCTTTCTCCAACGGTTGAGGATATAGTCGATCCCAAGGGTGGTGTAAAACCTAAATCAAAATTTGAAGATCGTCCAATACACGTTTGAGTTTGAGGGCAGTATTGGGAAATATAAAGAGTTTCAGTTCCTATAAAATTTAGATAATTAGTGTGTTTCCTGTTTAGATTGTATTTATCTATTCTTATCATTAAGATATGAATTAGAAAGTATGTTGTATATTTAAAAGCAAAGATTTATTCCGCAAATCTTGACAAATTTACTTATTCCTAATCCTTTTATAATTAAGCTTATCTTCCTAATATCTACATTATAAGACCAGCCTTAGATTCGAGAGAAACTCAACACAGAAGGAGAAAAAGAAGAAGAAACATGAGAAACCCTAATGACAGAAAATCTCGCAAGGAGAAGAACACAAACGGACATGGAAAGAGATCGGTTCGTAATGATCAGATCATGAAAAGGGACAAGAAAACCGGAAGATTCGTGAAGATGATGGACGATAAAGAATCTGAAAAACACGACACTTCGGCCGATGAGTTGATGTTTTCACGTAGAACAAACAAAAAGTCGATGCTCGAGAAAGCAGTGGACTTCATTAACAGAGTGAAGAAACGTAGCCTTGTCACTAAACGCGACTACGATTCAGAACGCTGCAGCGGCGGTGGCGATATGTACGCTGCGTTTGTGAAAGCGTTGGTGAGATTCAAAGAGCAAGAAGGGTACTACGGTTGTGCCGAGTTGGAGTATCTCAGAGGGGAAGTGGACGTGATTTTCAGCGGTTGCCCCGATCTGATGGACGAGTTCACTCGGTTCCTGTTCGAATTTTGTGACAGCGATTCGTACTTATAATCATGGAAAAAAATTTACGAAGATCCGTTGTTGGGAATCGAAACCCTAGATTTCGGGATTCGTATAGGGTTTCTTGGAGGAAAAGGAAGATTCACCGGATGTATTGTTTCAGGTTTGACGAAACTTGCGTTCCAAGTCATTTGACCTACCTTGCGTAGTACGCAAAAGGAGAAGATTGACGAACACATGGACTAAAAAGAGAAGTACAAGGGTTGATGAAGAACAGGGTCGTGTTTTTTTTTTAATAAAAATAAATAAAGTTAGTGCAGAAGAAAAAACATAAATTAATTCTTCTGGGTTATTTTTTTTAATTTTTTAAAATTTGAATTTCTTTTAAGAAATTTTACTAATTGATTGAATAGGCACCGATCGTTTTTTTCTTAACCATTTATATAATCGGGTAATTAAACAAATTTGTTATATATTCAAACAAACAAAACCCTAAATCTTGAATTAATATTCAAAAGGCTAATATATTTGTTGTTAACTGCTTTAATCGTTATCCGGTTTCTAATATTACTGTTTTAATCATCAAAGTTAATTAATCTATATGATCTTGTTGTTCCTCAAATTCTATTTAACAAATACTAATCATAATTAGCGTACATCAATTATAGATGTTCTGTTCAATTTGTATGTATTAATAATTTCCAACTAAAAAACCGATCTTAATGAAACTAATATGTTCAGTAATATTTTTTTAAGACCACAACGTTGAATTAAATTGTTACGAAATCGAACAAAAGCCTTGAATGGAAGAAGTTTTTTGAATTTTTAAAATCCAAAAATCATAAAAATTGATAATGAAATTTTCATCAAATTAATTTTTTACAAACTTGAAAAGTAAATTTGATGAAAAAAAAACTTAAAAACTCTATTTTTTTATATTTACAAAAAACAAAAATTTTAAACGAAAATAAAAAACAAAAAACTAAAGTAAAAAATTCAAAATAAAAACTACGCCAAGCCTAAGTGAATAACTTGGGGTATTTTAGCACAAATGGAAAGCTAGGGATCAAATTGTTATATATGGAGGAAAATGTAGGGGTTCTTTGTAAGTATTGAGAGCTAGGGATCAAAATTAGATACATATATTTTTGTAGAAACAGAGTCCGATTTGTCTCCGGTTTAATTTGGTTTGGTTCGCTTGATTTTTTTAAATAAAGATTTATTTATTTTCTGTTCGTTTTTTAAGAAAAGAAAAAGAAAAAGAAAATGCCCCAGCACGTGATCTAGCCTCTCTGTCTCCGATCGAAGACTCCTGGCCGTAGCAATCAATCAATCATCGACTCAGAGAGTTTGAATCTGCCGGAATCTATGGCGAAGAAGGGTGTTCCCGATTGGCTCAACAGCTCCATGTGGTCCACTTCCGGTGACGATCGTCTCCTCCGCCACTCCTCCTCCGCTTCCGTTTCTCCTCCCACCGTTGAGCCGATTCCGTCGCCGTCACCGCCGCTCCGTGTTCCTCCTCCGTCCGTGAAGACCGCTGCGACAGATCCGCCGCTTCCTGCTCCTCCTCCGATGAAGACAGAGACGAATGATCAGCGGAATGGAAGTGGTAACGGCGGAGGTGAAGGTCGAGCTCCGGCGGCTTCTCCTGCAGAGGATGTTTCTCGGCAAGCGCAGATCATGGCGGAGGTTGTTAGTGAGGCTTTTTCTGTTCCCGAGAGGAATGCAACCTCGTATTTGTGTATCTGGGCTTGCAGTTTTGTTTATTGTTTGTGTTGTTTTTCCTTTATCTGGATGTTTTTAGTTATCAAAGAAGGTGATAAACATGAAGGAATTGAGGAAACTAGCTTCTCAAGGTCTACCTGATCATGCTGGGATTCGCTCCAATGTCTGGAAGGTAACGTGTTTTGGGGACTTTTCAATTAGGCTCATTGATTTTGGTAAGAAGATGAAAGAACCTTGTTGAAAATTTCGCCTTTGTAAGTGAACTTACAGAGGAGAGAAATGTATGATCCGCAACTGTTAGTTTGCCAATAACGATGTAGTCTAGTTCTGATTTCTTCTGTTCCTTGAAATCTGATAGTCCTTCCACAGACTGACTTGAAGTCTACGGTGCATTATGTAAGAATCAATTTGGCTTTTCAGATTTTGTTTTGAAACGAAATAGAAAATCAAGGATTTTCATTGCCCATTATGTCAGTTTCTGCTTGAGATTGTTCTATTGACTGTGTGGCAGCTCTTACTGGGTTATCTGCCACCTGATCGCTCCTTATGGCCTTCTGAGTTGGCTAAGAAACGGTCACAGTACAAGCAGTTCAAAGAGGAGCTTCTAATGAACCCTGTAAGTCCACTTTTGCGGTTCGACACTTGTTCGCTGTAATGATTGCGTGCATTTCTTGCTATTTTTGAACGTGAGGAAAGCATAACTGGTGTATACAGTCTTTTGCATTCTTTGACCATACGGAGAGAGATACAACCAAACTTCTGATCGGAGCGGACACTGTTCTGAAAGCATGATTGTTAGCTTGATGTAGTTGCTACAGAGCTTCATACCCGTCACTAGAGCTAAAAGCGTGTGGTTGGTAGTGGGCATTGATAAAAGGTTATACCTGTCATTTGGTTAATGTCTTTGTTGAATTGAGTTTTTCACCCTCTTTTGACAAAGCATGAAAGTAGTTAGAACATTTAAGTTTGCAACTCGTAGAACAATATTGGACATGGGAATTCGAGAGCTAAGCAGCATTATATCTTGCATTTGACTAGGCAGAATGATGTAGGATCCTTCAATGTGAGACCATTGAGGTACTCTTAGAAGTGATAAGGGCATTGACGGTATTTAGGTGCTTATGTAACTGTTCCACTGCCCTTTCCTTGTGCCTTTTTTGTTTTTGTTTTCAATTTAAGATTACTTTTGGTTTGCTAAATGTTTTTGTGGCTAGCTAGTCAGAAATATCAAGGAGATTGGATAAATCAAAGGGTAGTGCGAGTAATGAGCCAAAAACTGAAGGCAGTGGTGTCCTTTCAAGGTCAGAGATAACTCATGAAGATCACCCCTTAAGTCTTGGAACAACAAGCATGTGGCATAAATTTTTCAAGGTATTTGTTGGACAAACGTGATGATAGATTTTTCAAGGTATAATTTATAAGGAAACTAGTCTTGTAATAGGTTACTATAACTTGCAATACCACTTATGTAAGAACCTGCAAAATGAAGCTTCTAATCTCAACTTTAATACTGTTTAGGACTCAGAAACCATGGAACAGATTGACCGAGATGTAATGCGCACTCATCCAGATATGCACTTTTTCTCTGGGGATTCTGTAGCTACAAAATCTAATCAGGTCAGATTTTTTCCCCCTTCTTTATTTACTTGTATTGACAGTCTTTGTGGCCTATTAACACATGTTCATTGATAGATTTGTGGGTTGATTAAAATGTCTAACACGTGTTCAGGATGCTTTGAAGAACATCTTGAACATTTTTGCAAAGTTGAATCCTGGTATCAGATATGTTCAAGGGATGAACGAGATATTGGCACCCATTTTCTACATATTTAAGAACGACCCAGATGGAGGAAATTCAGTGAGTACATGTACACTTCAGATGTACCTTTTTCTTAATCTATCTATACCCGAATTTTCTGACATTCTTTTATGATATGCTCCTTTCTCTTACTGTTGACCTTTTAAGTTATGCAGGCCCATGCTGAATCAGATGCATTTTTCTGTTTTGTTGAATTGATGAGTGGGTTTCGGGATAATTTTTGTCAACAACTGGACAACAGTGTCGTCGGTATTCGTTCCACTATCACAAGGCTGTCACAGCTCTTGAAGGAACATGATGAAGAACTTTGGCGTCATCTAGAGGTCACAACTAAAGTAAGTTATCTCAAGAAACCATTACAATTCCTTTTCCCTCTTGATATATTCTCTTAATCATTTCGGGCAGTGGTGGCCATTGAAACTTGTGCATACATTTTCAGATAAATCCACAATTTTACGCATTCAGATGGATCACTCTCCTCCTGACCCAGGAGTTCAACTTTGCGGACAGCCTCCGGATTTGGGACACTCTTCTGAGTGACCCTGAGGGTCCTCAGGTAATGTACAGTTTGTTACCATCCAGCTTCCGTTAAAAGTTTTTATTTTTATTTTATACTGAACAGAGGATGCGTCAAACAAAGGTCTATCGCTGAAAATCATTCTCTTGCGGGTCTTAGGCTAATGATTTCTATAGCTTCGTTCATCTGGATGAAAAATTAAGATTTCTCAAGGTTTTTGAAAGATACAGGATGAAATGGACACTTTTCCATGTTTCTACTATATGTTTCACTGGGAACAGTATAGTATATCTGTGGCTGATCTATGTGACGTCAAGCATATGCATGCAGGTCACATTTAGCCGACAGTTCAGGAAATGAATCCCGATCTGAAATCTTATTGTTCTGATTGTCTGATTTTGGAGGTCTCATTGCAGTGATTATAAAACTAACAGAAAGTTACTTGATATGAGACGAGTAATATAACCCGGGAAAGAGATCTAACAGATTACATGTAATTGCAGGAGACACTGCTTCGAATTTGCTGTGCAATGTTGATTCTAGTTCGAAGACGTCTTCTTGCTGGAGATTTCACATCAGACCTCAAACTTCTTCAGAACTATCCTCCCACAAACATCAGTCATATGTTGTATGTCGCGGACAAGTTGCGTAACTAAGTCTTCAGGTTAATTACTAACAAAGTGCACTCATCCTCTTGTCTTCTACGTTTTTTGTTATTTGAATCCATGATCTTCCTTTCTGTATATTACCGATTTCTGTGTAAATGTGTTAGCTTTCTAAGAAATCCGAAATTTGTAACCTCTTGGATAGGAAACTTTCATAGCTTGGTGGATGGATAGAGATTTGGATGCAAACTTCTGACATATTTGTTTGAGGATCTGCCTCCTTGCTTGGATTTTCCGTTATTAATAAATTCACAGAACTCTTTTGAGTTTATGTAGGTGCTTTGTGGAATAACCGAAAACCTTTTACATCTGTGTCTAATGGAGTCAGAGCCCAAATCACGAAGCCTCTAAAGGGAAAGCGAGAAAGAAAAGAAAAGATCTCGGAATTGCTTTCCTGCTCGGGTCACAATATCTTTAGCTTATCGGAGTGTCCAACAAAGGTTCTATTCCAGACGGGTTTCTGATCTTCGAGGAAAAGGTCCAACTCCCGCAACTTCTGCCTCAGACGAGGTAAGATCACACTTAAAGCCTTTTCCGGTTTTCGTTTCACTTCTTCCACGGCTTCCTCCCCCTGTTTTCCATACAACTGTTCTATGCATCTGTAGCACATCACTCCTAAATCTTTCATTTTCATCTCCCCTCTCAGAACCTTTTCCGCCTCCTCCGCTGTTCTTTGCAGAGTTCCTCTCAGCATGTCTGCTTCGTACATTTCATCTTCGCATTTGATCATCGCCTTTTTGTCATGACTTAGTCTCTTTCGGTTCCGAAATCTTCGGCTCATCTTTCCCACTGACATGTACTTGTTGTTCAGTTCTGGATCCTGTTCTTCCGGCCTGTCTTCCTCCGGGATAAGCCTATAGCTGGGGGTGACCTGTTCCGGATCTCGACCCGGACTTGATTTACTCCTTTTCTTCGAGGATCTTTGCCGAGATAAATCCTCGGTATCGGGTATAATCTCTAGAATCATCTTTATCAGTTCGGGTTTTGACATTTTCATAAACTCTTGGTACATTCGTTTCTTCTTTCCCTCTAAACCATTCTTGTTTAGCTTACCCATCTTCTTGTCATCATCTTCTTTCCGGACCTTGTCATGCCCATCATGCTCATCGTTATGATGATCTTGATGGTCATCTCTGTTTCCATTCTTCTTGTCATCTACATGATCATCATCATTTCCATGATGATGATGGTTATGATGCCCATGATGATGGTTTCCTCTGATGCCATTGTCCGCCTCATCATCTCCATGAAGAGAATCCTTCGTCCCATCTCGGATTTCGCCTTCTTTGATATCTTCTTCTTCATCATCATCATTCCGATGGTTATGATGGTTATCACCATGGTAATGCCCCCCGCTCGTAATCTCTTCCTCATCATCATTATTACCATAATCATGATGATGGTTCCATCCTCGAATCTCGCCCTCCTTACTGTCACCATCACCATCAAGACACCCCTTCATCCCATCTCGGGTTTTGCCTTCTTGCTCTTCTTCTTTGCCCGTTTCTTCGGCTCGTGGGACCGAGAAATCGCTATGGACGGCTTCCCGGAACTGATTCTGAAGATCTTGGTCGTGTTGCAACAAAGGCAGAACAGATGCAACAAGTTGCGGTAACCCGATTCTGCGAAAACTATATTCTTGCATGAAGTGAAAATAAGATCTCAGTTTCTCGGGACTTAGCCGCTGCGATATCTTCATCGTTAGCTCTGTTGAATATAGCATCCGATGGGGAACCACCTCGACCTCTCTGTAGTTATTCTTTTTCTTCATCAATGGCGTATTTTTTCTGTGTTCCGTGCGCTTCAAGGAACCCAAAATGCCGTTCTTCTTCTCTAGGGTTTAAATTTAAAACCCTCGAACTGCTTCAGCCAAGTGCGATCTTCTTGGGGTTTCTTGTTTTGTGATTATTTAATTATTGGATTTTCTATTATATGGTTTTATTGCTTCCTCGGTTGGAAATATATTATTTTCGTATCAATGGTTTTTTTGAATTACAAAATAAAGTATGAAATTTATAGACGTTGGTTTATAAAATAGGGTGGGTTTAAAGAAATCGAGTTTATAGATATAAAATATTAGGCTGAAAATTTGAATTGGTAAAACATAGATTTTGATTGGTGGTTAATGGGGGAAAAGTTAATTAAATTCAAAGTTTTAAAGCTGGATCATCTGAAAATTAATTAAACCCATCTCTCTTAACTCACATATTTTATAGTTTTACATTTTCTAAATCTCTTAATAGTCAGTAAACTAAACCATAAACGCATACATCACTTTTAACGCAAACTCAACCTGTTGCTATAGAGGTTTAATTTAATTGAATTTAATTTAAAAAAGTCGGCAATATTCTAATGATGATTGAAGGTATTTAACCTCGTCAAATTCTTATTTATTTATTTATTTATTCATTTATTTTGACTTAGGAGCAAGTCAATCTCAATTTTTTTTCTGAAGATTACGTAACAAATCCAAAAGAAGAAGAAAAAGCATATAGGATTTGATATTTTAAACGAAATCATAATATATATATATATATATATATATATATATATATATATATATATAAAGA